CCATGCTAATCCTCCTCTTTTTGCTGTGGAAGATTGGCTCTGCGCTAACATCTATTGCCAATCCACCTCCTTTTCTTCCCCCAAAGTCCCAGTAGATAGTTGTATGTCATAGTTGCACATCCTTCTAGTTGCTGTATGTGGGACGCGGCCTCAGCATGGCCAGAGAAGCAGTGCATCGGTCCGCACCCGGGATCCGAACCCAGGTCGCCAGTAGTGGATGGCGCGCACTTGACCCCTACACCACGAGGCCGGCCCTAGAGAGCAGTTTTAAGAGAAAAAGTGGTCGCAGTGTCAACAACAGAGAAGCCAAAAGGGATGCTGATTGAATGTGTCCATTGAATCAGCTTCTAGAAGGTTATGGATGAACTTGTAGAGCAGTTTTTCTGTAGTGCTGGGTGGACATGGGTCTGACTATCACATGCTGGTTGGTGGGCGGATACTGTGGAAACGGAAATACCTTGTGTAATTTACAAGTAATGATTCTAAAGGGAAGGTGAGATGTAGACTCAGGTAAGAGAAGAAAGGTTCTCAAGAGTTGCTGGTAACATGGGAGAGGCTTACTTATGTTTAGGGGGGAAAGAGTGGGAGTGAGATGCTGCAGATACAGGGAAGGAGGGGGTGATGTGGGACAAGCAAGGCCTTGGGGGTCCAGAGCAGAAGAATGTCTTCCCTAAAGGCAAGGAGTTTCCCACCACCAAACCCCGTGTCAGCAGCTCTGGTAACAGGAGGTGGTGCTGGAGCATTGCCCAGAGGGCTCAGGGGAGGAGCTTCAAAGAGACCATCTCTGACCTGTGTGCTGTGATGTCTTCATGCCTTACAGGGGGCCAGTGGCCCCTGAGTGACAGCAAAGGGAAGGAGTGAGTACCTAGTTACTTTGGGTCACAGGGGCAGGCAGGGATTGGCAATCCAAGAAAGTAGTCACACCAATGTAGGCAAAGAAGGGAAAGAGGAAGAAGCAAATCATGGAGTGAGATGAACATCACTAAAGATAAGAAAAAGGTTAACAGGTGAAAATCTGGAAGCGTGGGTGTTGTGGCAGTGTATGGGAATGCCAGAACTAGGTGTCTGTCTTAGCGCAGAGCAGACTGAAAGAAGTCTCCAAAATAGTGACAGAAATGAAGTGAATCACGTGAATGGGCAAAGAGAAACACATCACTCCAACATACCTTTGGATTTTCTATTTATTTATTTGAACTGGAAAATTTTACCGTTCACCAGTGTTGTGGGGCTGCGACTTCCAGGACAGTGCACAAATCTATAGTTTGCATGTAATATATCTGATAAACTTCTGCTTTGAATAATAGTAAAAACCTCAATAATTTGGAATTAGGTAGGCTAGAGGGTGAAGTTTGCTGTAATTAATGAAAATTTAAATTTTTTTTAAAGAAACAATTTTTACTCATGTCAGATTCTTGAAGCAGTTAAAATCAGACTACTAAACGTGACCACTTCAAGGTCTGGGAACCTGTTTTTATCAATGGTTGGGGTGGAATAACTGTTGTAAGTATGTTTTGAGTATAAACGGTGGGGTCAGAGGCAGTGCTCAAGTGGTTAAAGGTGTTTAGAAGCTGTTTACACTTTCAAGCAGGTCAAGCAAGCGTGTCCCACACATGATTTGTTTTCACTCTCTAGAAGGCAGTAGAATAGACACACCCCTGTTGGATCCCACTAGAGCCATGGTGGGATGCCCTCTCACGTCATCTCCGGATAACACTCCCTCCTTCCTCCTCCTGGGCTCCGTCAGGGCTTTGTTGCTCTGTATTCCGGACTTCGCACATCTGAGCCTCCTTCCAAATAATTCCACTGGAATTAATCATGGACACAGCACAAAACCGCTAGTGGAACAGAAGGACTGTGATATTCTAGGGAAGAAGAAAAAGATCCCTTTTGGAGCAGAAGCCCTGCCCTGGTGAGGAGAGCTGGAGAGGTGCTAGAAGTAGCCAGTCTGAGTGTCCAGGGGCTGCAGCATCTGGGTACCTGCCTCGTTCCCACTTCTTATCACTTGTTTGGCAAACCCTTTTATTATAGTTAACACAAAGCTCATATGCACTGGTATCTGAGTTTTGATATATCAAACTAAAAAATACAATATATATGTTAATATATATAAATATATAAAATATATATCAAAATATATATTTGATATAATATCAAATTAATTATTCTATGATACCCTCAAAAACATTTGCAATTCCCTCCCCTCCCCAAATTACCAACGATTTCTTCAGCAACATTGCAAAAAGATCGTGTTTATATTTCAGCTCAAAATCTGTGTGGTCAGTTTGGTTGACTGGGATGAGTGAGTTCAGACCCAACCAGTTACCTTTAGATAAAAACAGTCACACTAGCTGTTTACAGACATATTTTTAATGTTCTACTTTAAAACAAATAATCCCAGTAAAAGAAAGCAAAGGAAATTACATTTTAATGATAGCTTGAAATGGATATGATAGTTCTGATTTATTTGTTTTCGGGAAACAGATAATTGTATTGTCATACATGACTTTTAGAACTGCTCACTTAAATGCACGTAATCTTATTAAATTAAGTTTCTCTTACGAAAACACAACCATGTCATTTAAGGCAAAAAAATCAGCTTCTGGGGAGATGTTAATATTATCATATTTTTTTACTCTGATTGAATGAAGTGATCCATTAATTTAATTGATCGTGTTTCATCATTTCTTATAGTTTTGTTCTGCAAATAGGCATGAGAATTAGTCACTTTGTGCCTGATCTCCTCCTTTCCATTAGACTGGTTTTACCTGCAGAATAAGGACTTTCAGAATCACGGAGTCAACGGGAGGTGAGAAAGGCACCTTAGAACAGGAGATAAAGACTTAAAAACTCAATAAACTGTCATACTTTAAACAAAACTTGCAACCTACAGATATTAATTCAGTTGAACAGAATGCAAACATTTAGATTAGACATAGCAAAATTTTTTAGTTAACCTCATATAAGGGATGTTTTCAATTAAGTGTTAGCTTGACGAGCCCTGCAAATTGAAGAAGGCAGACAAACTTGAACTGAGAAAGCATGTGGCTACTCAGCGCTCAGTTAGATTGTGCTTCAAGACACCATTGGGGACTAACAATGGACTTTGCTAAGTATAAATGGGAGGCCCCTCTTGACTCCAGAGAATAACACAACAGACAGAAACCTACAGTTTCACACAATACGACTACCTACTAACATCCAAGAATTTTGTGCTAGAGTAAGATAGACACAAATGGTCATGGCTTTAATGTATAGAAGTTTTTCACAACATAGTTTATCACATTTTGCTATGATTAAGACCTCAGTGATGTATTTAGGTTTTGTTTCTACATCTTCAGTCTTCACAATGCTGGATGAACTGTCTGAGGCCTAAAGAGGCCGACGGAGAGGTCCTCAGTACATTCAGAATTCCTGCTGCCAGTGGGGTTCAACCCAGGACAGAGTATGTCCAAGAATCAGTGCTACCTGAAAGTTGCTGCCTCCTTCCTCCTCCTTGACTAATATCTGAAGAGAGCCTGCCGAGTGCATGGCAGGTGTCTGGCTTTAGGTCAGTGGGGTGGAGTATGCGTGTGCGTGTGTGTGTGTGTGTGTGTGTGTGTGCAACCTCCTCGGAAGGGTGTATCACAACTTTAGGTTGAGTGGAGACATGGATGGATGAAAAATCGCATCTAATAATTTACTAAAATTCTATATTTCAAAAATGAAAATAATTGCTTTAACAGCTTGATAAATTTTTTTTAATTGGAGTGTAACATTTAGACTCTATCTTCTGTGTGTCTCCAGCAGCCAAGAAGATTCTGAATGATACACTCCAGGCGAGTGTGCTAGAATCCAGGGTGGGTGAGAAGAGGAAGTTTTCAAAATTTCAGTGTTTATCAAAAGGGAAAAGAATTCTAAAAGGTTGAGAAGCACATTTTAGGTAGAGTGGGTAAGTGGTTTACTTGAGGCTGAAGGCTGGTTAAGACCTGCTGAAGTTCAGAAGCAGAGTAGTGGCAGGGATCGAGAAGCAGCTGATGGAGAGGAAAAGTGGGAGGAAAGTCAGGGATGGAGAAGGTCAGTTGGGGGAGAGAGTTGGGGAGGACTAGTGGATCTCAGGGCCACCTCCTTCCTTTGGATAGCCAATTGATAATGCCTGCTCATTCGTCCTGGCTGCTAGAGAAGTTTTCTGGAGGTAGCACTATCTGCCAAGGGAAAAAAAAACTCTTCCTTTCTGAAGTCCTCTGTGGCTAGAGTTTATCTCACTTCTCCTTGCCTTTCCAACGCAATTACCTGGGCTGAAGTTCTGAGGGTCTGAGACAGCTGGACTGGTTTCTGACAAGGAGTCAGCACTGCCTGCTTTCTGGTAAAAGTGCATTTCTCATTTTGTTTCCCTTGGTCTTTTTGCTGCCATGCTAAATGATTAAGAGTTTTGATTTGCAGACCCTGCCAGTGTTATCTGGCTTCTAACTCTAAATGTTTATACCGGGAAACTAAACCAATAATTTCAGATTTGGGGCAACATTCTGGGGGAGAATAGAAAACGTTCACTACAGTATAAAAAGTGAAGGAAGTTTAGTTTTAGCCTTTTATATGCAAAACGTGCTACACAATAGCAAAAAACATTCAGGGCATATTAAAAAATAAATACCTTGCAAAATTCTTTGTTTCTATATAAGAATAAGGGATGAATAAGAACAGGTAGCTGAATTCCCTGGTGATCTTCATTTTCTAGAGAAGCGAGCTTCTTTGTTGTGGTTTGTGGTCTCCCTCCTGCTGCCCTTTGAGGGAGGCGTTTTCTTTGACTTCACCTACTTGCCGGGGTTGTGCCTGGATCTCCTCATGCCTTTCCCGTCTCGGTCTCCCTCATGTGTCTCATTCCTGGGATCCTGCCGGTACCCCAGCTTCTCACACTCCCCTTCCATGGCAGTGCTGATGGGCCTGGGGGCCACTGCAGAGAGCTCAGCCTCATCCTGCTGCCTTCTGCTGAGCCGGGTGGCATCTGCTTGTGTGGAATCTGACCACTCATACAGGTGACTCAGCCAGCAGGGAATACGTTTCCATGGAGTCACACGTGTCCTATGGTCAGTCTATTTGCCCCACTGGCCCTGAACTTTTATTTGCACATTTTCTAATTGAAGAACATTCTCGTCATAAAGAACAACATGAAAATGATGTGCAAAGTTGTTTGCCACAGCGTTAAATCACCAAAAGCACACAAATTGACATTCAAATTACATTAATAATAAAATGACTGAATAGGAATAGGTTGGCACATGTATCTTGAAATAAGCAGCCATTTCTGTTATTTGCAAATTCTGCTTTACTTGATACCTTGTTAGCAGCTGTTGATAGCCATTGTGTTTAAATACACATTATGGCCTGATTTTGAAAATGTATTTTGTATTTAATCACACAGTAGAAATGCCTGAAATTTGAAGGTGTTTACTCCCATAATTTGAAAATACAGAGTCAGATCTTCTAAGTAACCTAATCTTCACATTTTCATACACCTCATAGCATTAGCAGTGTTTGGTTTCTCAACATATTAACTCAAGGTACATTACTAAATGAGTGGTTAATGTTGATGTACCTTGGAATTTCAGCCATCCCTAAACATGCATTTTCATGCAATTAAAAGATAACAGGCTTATAAACTATCTTTCACGTTCTTCCTGATTCTTGCAATTTCAACTTTTTAGCAGGGCTTTCAAAATAGTTCATGCAACGATATGTAATGGCTAAAGGAACTGCTATGCCTAGAAAGAAAACGAGGAACTTATTTCAGTTTGACATGAGGCAAGCTGAGGGCATCTGTACTGTCTCCTGCTTTACAAATGCTCTGAGATGATCGTGACCTTCCAGTCCTTAGAGAATCTGACGCAAAAGCAGTTTCCCTGGCAGGCTGCGGCACGGCGTCAAAAGTGTCTGTCTCCGTCTCTTCAGGACCCACCTCTTCATCAGTTATAAACAATTTGGATTCCCTCCATTTGGGGTAAAAATCTTGGCTGCCTCTGGAGCCGCTTGACTCACTCCCTGAAAGCTGTGTATTCAGTTCCTCTGTCGACCTGATCAGGTTTTGTACTGACAAAGATTTGCCTAAGTCCTTGGGCACCGCGGGGCGGACAGACAACAGAGTTTCTCCTCCCATGTCAAAGCTTTTCCTCAGAGAACGGTCCTTGGTCAGATTTGACTGTGCAACCTGAATATTTTCCTTGGAGGCAACGAGGCAGGTGGTGACATCAGAAATGCTTTCCTGTAAGCCTGCAGGGTTTGAGTGCAGGGCCTCTGGCCTGGGCAGATGCTTGATGGCTGGGAGAGGAGGCGGGATCTGTAAAGTTGTTGGGGCTGCTGGCTTGGGTGCCACATTTATTTGGTTTGCAATGTTGTTGGTGGCTGCCACTGTGGAGCCATCACTTTGACTCATTGGCACCTGTGTTGCTTGACTGTGCATAGTAGGGCTAAGCGCGTAGAAAGTCTGAGCACTGAACTCATTTGGGGTGAGGATGAACTGCAGGCCTCGGGAGATGTTGGCACTGGCTGATCTGGATAAGCAGCCACTGTTTTGTGCAGAACTGGACAGATCTTTGCTATCCACAGGGCTCTGATAGTCAGATGTCTGTTCACATTCAAAAGGTGGGATCTGGAATGGGGCCAAAGCGAGGGCTGAGGAGGAGCCCTTCCGGAGGACTTGTTGGTATATGTCTAGTAGACAGTCCAGCTTGGACTCAATGGACTGTACCTGAAAACGGGGGAAATGGTTACATGTGAACATAACCTTTGCTTCTAGAATTAAAAAATGAAGTCAGGGTGTGTCAATACAGTTAAATATGGAGTATAAAGTATAAAGCAATCCTGACCCTTAGCACCATCCTAGAACGGACCGTCTAACAGTTGTGGGGCTGAGGGAGGATGGAAGAGGAGAGCAGTGCTTTGGCCTTGACATTGGCAGCCCTGCCCTCCAACTCTTTAAAATGGACACAACTTTCTCCAAAGCCATATCAGCGCTATACAAGCACAACTTCAAGACTCCTCAGCGCAAGCAGGGCCCTTTCCTAGGCCTCTTCTTGAGGAGATTCTGGGGCTCACTGCGGTCTAGCAAGGAGCGCAGTCTACAATGAAATCAAGGCCTTAAATATCAACCTAGGTGATTCTGAATTTAAAAATAAAGGCACAACATGCTTCAGAACTAATACTTGGAATATTTATGATTAAATTGAGGAGGAATTTGATTTCTGGAAAACTGTCTTTGTATGAGAAGTTATAGCCTCAGGGTTAACAAACATTCAATCTGTCGTCATAGTTATAATGATATATTTTTCTAAAAGGGAGAAAATGAAAATAACCAAAACACAAATGAAAAACAGATCTTGGTTATTTTACTGTTGAAAATCTATAGTTGCTTCCAGTTCAAGTACTAATTAATGAGATGAAATTTTCTATTCCTTATATGGAATTCCAAGTGTTTTAGAGAACACTGTCTACACACAAAGAAAATTTAATTTAATTCACTCTTTCTTGATTTTATTACTTTTTAAATATATTAATCACTAAAATATGTCTGTAACATTGTGATTTATAAAGAAGAAATATACATTTGGTCTTTGTCCATGGTTCCTGGCTCGCAGCTCCCAAAACTTTTGGAATTTCTTTAGTGATGAAAGCTTGAAGGCCAATTCATGTTAATAAGGTGACTATTGGAATGCAACTAAGGATGAGGTCTGCTTGCCAGGAGAACCAATCACGTGATTAGAAGGTTGGAACTTTCAGTCCCACTCCTAGACCTCCTAGAAGGGGAGAGGGGACTGGAGGTTGAATCAATTGCCAACGGCCAATGATTTAATCAATTGTCTCTATGTAATAAAGCCTCCACAAAATACCAAAAGAATAGGATTTGAAGAATTCCTTCGTTGGTGAACACATGGAAATTTGGGGAGAGTGGTGTGACTGGAGAGGGCATGAAAGCTCCGTGGCCTTTACTCATACCTTGCCCTGTGCATCTCTTCTATCTGGCTGTTCCTGAGTTACATCATTTCATAATAAACGAGTAACCTACTGAGTAAACAGGTGTCCTGAGTTCTGTGAGCCACTCTAGCAAATTAATCGAACCCAAGGAGGGGGTCGTGGGAATCTCAGATCTGCAGAGGGTAGATCAGAAGCACAGGTAATAACCTGGGCTCACAACTGGCTCACAACTTGTAGTGGTCGTGGTGGGACTGAACCTTTAACTTATGGGATCTGACACTATCTGGGTAGATAGTCTCAGAATTGAGTTGAATTGTGGGAGACCCAGCTGATGTTGGAGAATTGTTTGTTGATTGTGTGGGAAACCCGCCCCCCCCCACCAAGCCCCCACCTCCCCCACACACACATTGGAAATTTTAACATCCAACTGTCTATAATCACTTTTGATTAAAAAAAAATTCTGGCTAAAATGTTAACTGGGATAGTTAGTTGAGTTGTACCTGTTTTTCAACCTTGACCACCCGGCCAAGCATACTGAGGTCATCTGTGGGCTCATGTTCTGCCGTTATTTTCTCTCGGCTCTTCTTATCTGATGTGATTTGCCCTTTTCCAAGAATTTGATCAACACTATAGGAGAAAGAGGAGATCTGATTATGAGTGCTGAAGATGAGATTGCCCTAAGCCAGAATGAAGTGTTTTGAAAAGAAATATTAAATACTATTATATTTAATTTATGTAAGATAACAGAAAAATGAACTTATTCCAGTTGATGTACTTATGTTCTTAACATGTGAATTACACATGAGATTAATTTTCTCATTTCTGGTGCATGAGGATATCACTTATGGGAGATCTTCTGGAGGCAAAATTGTCCTAAACTACAAAGTAACTTCTGTTTCCATCTCTGACCAGGAATTTCCTGAATTCAACCACTTAAAATATAACAAAATCATAATTATGATTATTTCACGTTAATAGTTCAGATTATTCAATGAACATTTATTGTACTTCTGATATGTGAGAGATAAGCAGAAAAGAATGTCTCTGTCCTTTGAAATTCTAGTTGGAGAATATATACTACATGAGCTAGAAACTCAAGATTAGTTCTGTAGATTCCATAGTATTTTGACTTTATGTAAACCTTCTATTAAAGGACTTGGAAGACCCCAGCCACCTATGCAGAGATTGTAACATGACCACAGGATGAGTTAAAACAATTTCGAAGGAGATTTGATCAGCCTAAATGGGAATTACTTTCTCCTTTTTTGTGTGTTTTAGAACTGAATTATCAGGAATATTGACTCAACTTTCCAGTTTACTTTGTCTGCATAGAAACACAAGGAGTGGCTACCTTCTGCCATGACATCTAATCTATTAAACTGTAAGCTCTACAAGGACTGGGCCTTTATTTTATTAATTTCTAGATGTCCACAGTGTGTGGCACACATTACAGGCTCAATAATCATCTGCTGAATGAATGAACAAATTGAGATTTCTATAACTGATCAATAGGTGCTTTAATAAGGGCCTAGTATAAGCTTCACACTGGGCTAAGTGTGCTGTGGGCATGTAAACAAAGGTTTAAGGCTCACTCATTTCTTTAATCACTCAGTCAGATGCTCACTGGAAAGACAGTGCACATCCAGCACGTACATGAGTGGAAGGAAAGACCTCATCTTAGTCTAGAGCCGTGAGAACAGGAAACAACACAGGGCCATGCCGGCTTTTCTGTCCTGACTGGCGCAGCATGCCAAGGCTGTGAGTGCTCTGTGCTCTGCAGGAGACTGACACTGCAGGGAAGGGAAAGGTCTACCTTCATGGGCCTGTAGTCAGGTCAAGTTTACTGAAGGAGGGAGACTAGCTTGTTCCTGAGGATGGTTAGGACTTAGAGAACAATGGGAGCAGCAGCAGCAGCAGTCGTTCAGATGCACCAGCAACAACCATTGAGATTCACTGAGCACCTAGCTCAGGTGCATGAACTCAGGACTCACGACAGGCCTGTGAGGCAAGTGCTAACATTATCCCCATGTTTACAGATGAGGAAACTGAACACTCTATAGTTGGAGGCTTTTAATGCCTGATTTACATCCTTAAATAAAATCTATGTTAAAAGCAAGTCCAATTCTCCACTAAAAGTGAATTAAAAATATGGAACTCAAGAGTTTACTACAGAGAAGTTCCTCCATGATAGTTTCTATGCTTAGTCCTTTACAACAAATAACATTTTCATTGTTTACCGTGTTTGAAGGCTTTTAATTCTACACAACATGTCCAGATGACCAGCAGAGTATTGTTCAATCACATCTTTTACATCATATGGGCGTAATGTTTCCTTAAACTTGCGTTTTGCAACATGAAATTTCATAATTCTGTAAGAGAAATATATTAGATATTAATCTTTATAACTTTGATAAAAGAAGTTACTCAAATAGCTTACTATTAAATATAGGAAACTCTGGGGGAAAAAGTCATGCATCAAATTATCTCAGGGTCCTACAGAAAGGCAATATAAAATCCTGAGATTATAGTGGACAATTTAAGAATACCTCATGTCAGGACACCTCAAGAGTGGAAAACATGCTAAAAAAAGAGACTAAGTACTAAATGTTGCACCTTTTTAATGTCCGTTGAAACCCTGAATTAAAATGAAAGTCAAGGTGCAATTCTATCTTTTCCATGTGACCCCAAAAATCCAAGATACAATACCTAGTAATTGCATCTTTTAAAAAATATAAAAGTTGTTAAAATGGTCTTTTATGCAATAGACGCATGTTTGAGATGCAGATGTATCTGCAAAACTCTCTTATTCTCTCTAGAGAAATATACATTTGTATAAAAATTAATGAAAATTTCATTTCAATAATTATTTCTGTGGAATGATGCTCGCTTAGCTAGCCAAGTTCCTTTTGTTTCAAGTAGGACACACTCAACAACTCAGCTGGATGTCTAAGTTTTCATAACCAGAGGTCTCTTATTATGGTGCCTCCCCCAACATGTATCCCATGTTTAAAAACAATATTTCATCAATAAATCCCATGATGCCATAAATAGCTAAGCTGCCTGTGATAACCAGTCACTGAGATAACTTGATATAGTTTCTGGAGAAAACGAAGAAGCATAACATTTTAATGAGTCTGTGCAGCCTTATTGCAGGTACATGTTAAAGCTGTTGGCAGTTTTTCACTATGAAATGGCTCACAGACTCCCATTATCACACTCATGGATCCCAAGCTGGGAATCAGCTCTATGAACTAAAATTTATTGTCCTTAGTAGAAAGTGGGAGAATTAGGAACAAATGTAGAGTTTAAAAAGAAAATACTCATTACTTATCCTAAGTGATAGCTGATTGCAAGGAATCCAAGTTGGTTTATCAGTTAAAAAGCCCCAAACTCTGTCTTGTAATTGTATTATTAACTTCAAATTAATTGTATCCTAATTATTCCTTAATCATTTATCCATAATATTCTTACTCCCTTTCTCTACCACATTTTCTGCACCTGTCTCTTCTTTATTCAGGACAGATCTTTTTGTGTGTTTTTTTGTTTGCAAGGACATTTAAGCAAAGTTATTCAGCAGAAAGTAAAGGAAATCTGTGTTTTAATTTAACCTCTTAGTATCTAGCTTTGGTTCTAAATTTGTTTACCAGAATTTAGGTTATATTGGGGTTCAATCTCTCATATTGAAAAACTGAGAAAAAAATAGTAAAATAGGTATCCTGTGAAAGTTTTGGCCCTGAGTGATTACTTTTAAAACATGTCTTTCCCCACAGGAGATTGTTGGCTACAAGGAGGCAGGGACGGGTCTCTTCTAGTCAACAGTCAGTGCTTAATAGACATTAGCTGTTGTCACAACCACCACGTCCACCACGACTGCTGCTCCCGCTGTTCCTCCTCCACACGGTGCTCAGAGTTCGGCACTTTCCTGATCCACAGTGGAAAGAAATATTTGTTGAATAAGAGGACGAAGAAAAGAAACAGAAAAAGATGAATTCCTCTAAGCCAGGTAATATGAAGAATGCAATCACAAGAAAAACTAACCTAAAAGCCAGACCCCTTCTTTGCTTATCTTCAGAGTAGCCCACGGTGCCTGGGTGGGCAGGAAGAAAGGAAAACTATCACATTCCTGGGTGGTGTTCTGGTTGTCATTGTTTGCATTTTCAATATTATTGCCACTTGTTGTGTGAAGTACTTTATGTTCTTATCTTCAGCACTTAAGATATTCTTATCTCCCTTTTATATTTAGGGAAACTGAGGTTCCAAGAACTTAAGTGATTTGCCCCAAAACAAGCAACCAGTATGAAGCAAAGCCAAGATCCCACCCAAATCTGTCTGGTTCTCATCCACGTCACCTCCCGGTTTCCCATGGCAGCAGTTGAGGGATTTGGAAGTTTGACTGGATCTTCCCCGTGGTGGTGGAAACCACCCTACACGCAGAGGGCAAGCTTTGGCACAAGTGAGTGTGTTCCCACTGGCTGAAGCTCAGGTGTCTGTGGCTGGTGGCCGGTCAGCCCAGAGGGGGACCCATGTGCCTCCAAACTGAATGGCCTGTTTTGCACTAACGGGGACCTGCCCTTGTTTCTTTGTAGAGGTTGTGTGAGTTGTCTATGGTAACTTGTTTCAAAGCTGCACATTGCTTTTCTCTTTTCTTTTCACGAATATTTTAAGAGAAGGAACAATTTGAAGACATTCAATAGACAATATTACACTCTAGCTCTCACTCAGTCATATTTTATGCAGTCTTTAAACAATCTCATTTTCATTTAAATAATTTACTATATAAGCTAGACAAATGAAAAGAAAATCCATGTTTTATAATTTGATCAATCAATATTAAACAGGACACTGGTCATCTTTTGTTTATTTCAGTATGGTCATATGATAATAAGTATGCAAAGCAGAATAGACATGAAAATTCTTAACAGGCTTACCATTTATTTTACACATCACATCACTCCTCAAGTGGTATTGCTTTCCCTCCAGTATTTTACTTACAGATTTTTCCACTTTCATGTGAAACAGTGAAAATTGGATTAATAAATATAATTTCAATTATTTGGAAAAGAGAAGAATAGGCAGTGATGGGTTGGAGCAGATTTGTATTGACTCTGAAGGGCTGATGTTACATATTTGGAATTTTGCTTGTTGTTAAACACAGCCATTATTAAAAACTATATAAAATTAAAATAAAATAAATCATATTAAAAATAAAGTTAATACATACTCAAAACTCATCACTTCCTAATTATTTTACTACATGTTACTCTCCATGTTCTTGAGTTATATACACTATCGTATCTGTATGGTGGAAATATTATCTGATAATGTCATATTGTACATCTCTTGCCAACTTCTTGCTAAGTGACGTGACATTGATAGCTTGAAATCAGCGATGGTAGGTGTACTTGCACCATGGAAATTGACCAACCCCACATATCAGGGCTTTCCCCACCAGGAGATCTGGTTGTTAAGTGTTTACCAGTGTATTACTGTGTGTATAAAACCGTGTTATCTGTTAAGGATTATGTTTCCTAAGATGGAGATCAAATAGATTTTCTTAATTGGGTTTGTTGTGGGTTGAAAACAAAAACATTGAAGATACCTGAAGTGAGATATAAAAATTCTACCTCAGGTAATATGTTTTATAAATGTGAAGGAAGTATTTAAAAGCAGAAGTATTTTTGACATCAATAATTTATATAAAGGATGGTGACAGTCATTTAGCTTTTGCTAAGGGCAGAACAAGAAGATACCAATAGCTCTCAAAGCCGTCCCCTCCTTTCTGTCTGTACCACTGCAGCCTTAGAAAGAATATGCCTTTCAAAATGCAAATGAGACCATATTACCACCCCCCAAAAATCCGTCATTGGTTTTCCATGGCCTATCGGTAAACATCAAATTCCTTAGCACATCCTGTAAGGCTGTTTACGGACTGGCCTCTGTCTACTTCTCTCACCTCATCCCTTTCCACTTCCTCCTTGGAACCTGAGGTTCCAGCAACAATAAAATATTTGCAAGTCCACAAAAACATCATTCAATCAATTGTATACTTAAATTATTTGCATACGCTATTTCCTCTTCCTGAAATCCTACTGTATCTTTAAGACTCAGCCCTTTTATGAGTCTTTTAGGAGTCACTTCTTTTATGGAAATATCTGTGATCCTTCCAAAGCAGTTAATCACTTATCTATTATCCTCTATTTTAGTACATAATACACATTGTAATTATTTGCTTATATATTAGCCTCCTCTACCAGATTGTATGAGGTCCTTGAACGCAGAGTTAGGTCTTTTCCCCTTGAAAACCCAACACTTGGCACAGAATTGAATGAACACAAAAGGTTTGTTTGTCTAGAAGCTCCACCAAGGAGACTGGGTGGAGAGGGAGGAGGGCATCGGATGGAGACAGCCTCGCCTTTTCTCCCCAGATGAGCATCTCTATCCATTCCTTGGTGCAGCCCACACCTAGCCCTTCTGGATTTTCTTGTTACAAAGTTCTCGTTTCTCAGGATTCTGTCTTGGCATTCCACCTAAAATGCTAACTGTTCCAGATTCAGGTTAAGCATCGACTAGGAAATCTTTCCTGACCACCCCCACAGAATTAGATGATCTTGCTCTGTGCTCTCAAATGCACTTCATGTCGCCAAACCTGCAGCATTGTATTTCACTCACTGGAATTTATTGACATCAGAGACTGTGTGTTTTACCCTAGCCTCTCCCACAATCTCTGGCAAGTAGTAGAAGTTCAGTAAATGCTTGCTGAAGAAATGAAGAACCAGCTACTGCAGTTGTTCAGAGCTGTTTGTGTTGTTCTGTGACAAGGCAGCCTCTTATAGAGGTCTTCTAAAAAAAGTGCCTTAGGATAGATCTGAGTTCTTGAGGCACATTTCAGGGAGAGCAGAAGATTTGACTCTCTTTCACGAATACAAAAAACTTTCTAAAGTAAAATAAATATTCGTCCATTAATAGTCAAGACCCTGCCTGGCCCAGAAAAGAGTCATTTAAATAGAACTGCTTTTGAAAATTGTGAGAATATAATATGCTTTTTCCTTAGATTACTAATGTGATTAGGATCTCACAAAGCAACTAAGTCACAAATGATAAGATACCATTAGGAGAAAGTTAGGAGAAAGGCTGAAACATTGAAAGTGGAGGAATACATCATACTGTAACCCAGTAAGTACCAAATGTAATGAGTAAGCTGACAGCAAAATGAAATTGTCCAGGGCGGGGAGTGGAAGAGCTCGTTGGAATAGCAACTGTGTCGGCTGAATGAACGTTATAGTATCACAGGACCATCAAGAAAACAGGGTAGAAAACATGTGGTTAATGTCTAAAAAGAATGGAACTGTAGCTTTCTGTTCCTAAGAGA